GATACGACATAAAAATCTGATCAATACATCCACGACCAGGCCGGAATCTGGCTTGCTGTTCACGGATGTTGGTCTGTCTTAAAGGCGTCAGACGTCGGAGTATAACCGAATCTAGCACTTTGGAGACGATCGGGATCAAACTTATCCCGCGGTGGTTTTAGCAATCGTTGCGGGCTCGTTTCCTGAAATGTGAACGATCAGTGATTCGCCCTAAGATGAAGAAAGTGTTCTGGCATCGAAATTTTGCACAGTAGGGTAGTAATAGGAGTTACGAGATTATCATCTCCCATCTTGAAAAGAGTGGGAGGGAGCTCATCCGATCCTGCTGCCTTTCCTCGCTTCAGAGCTTGAATGCAATACCGAACTTCTGCTTCCGTTGGAGGATCGCATGCCACGGCCTATGGAGCTTCAGTTGCAAATGAAGCAGCCTGGTTAGCACTAGGCCAACTGAACTGTTCGCTGAAGTATTTTACCCAACGATCGAGTCGTTGACACTTATTGTGAATAGCTTGCCCATTTTTTATCGCAGGTTGTTTCTATAACTCCCATATTGCGTATCTGTCGGAACAGTCTTTGACTATTCCCTGATGCAACCGCTTCCATTTCACTAGCTATTGTTGCCCACTATTTCTCACGGTCCTCCCTGAGGCTTTTCGTGAGCCGACGTTGTAGATGCCACCTAACTCTATTTTGATCCAGGCAGGTCGGGATTTATCGTTCTTTCTCCATCAAAACTACTGACTCCTGAGATATCCAATGCCTCCGACGGGTTTGAGGTTCAGACCCACACGCAGCATTCGCTACGGAATGCATTGCTCGTCTAATCTGATCCCACTGCTCATCTACATCACCACGTTGAGGCGCGCTTAGATCACGCACTAGCTCTGATTCATAGCGCACACGAACGGTTGGAACAGATGGTCGATGATGAGCTGTACGAGTTTGCTGAATTCGTCACTGGTCAGTCAGTCGGAGAGTGAACCGCTTCCAAAATAATGCGTGGTCAGACTCAACGCAGGTGGTCCAATGGGACCTGCAATTTTGCACTAAGCCACGCCAACGGTAACTTACTGCTATGTGGTCGATTTGAGTTAGCGTACCACTTGAACTGGAGCATCACGTTGCCGTCCGTCGAGAGCTGTATCAAAGTTGGTGCTTGATAGGAACAGATAGTGGTCTACGCAGAACTGAAGAAGTCGATCGCCGTTATCTGTTCGTTGGCTGGGCAGAGCACAACTACCGCTTAGACAAGCTTCTGATGCGCTCAGTTTTCCAACCTGCGCGTTGAAGTCACCTGCAAGTACAACTATGTCGGAGCTTCAACTCATGTGAATGAGATTGGTGAGTTCATCGTAGAAAGCATCCTTTTGGGTATCAGAACTACAATGGGTCAGTGCATATGCTGATACGATGAACAAACACCTTTTGGTGTTGCTTACCTTCCGGACGTTGATTAAACTCTGGAGACGCACTGCACATAAACGACTGATGACGGGGATCCAAACGATGAGAGAGGACTCAATACAATACCTACCCCGCGCTGACCTACTGAACGAGCTTCATCGTCGTCTGATGTGCGAAGAACGTATCTCGTCGACAAATCTGACGCTTTTAAGTGGCTTATAGTAGTAGGATCCTGGATCCCAGTTTCCGACACTCAGCAAATATAGATTCCTAAGGATTCCATTGTGCGAGCCAGACAAGCTTGTTGACCTACCTGCATCAAAGTCCTCACGTTGAAAGCCCTCAGATTCAGTGATTGACGAAGCTTTAGAATCTGCAATCCATTTCGTGGTAAATTACTTACAGTGCTATTTGGCAACTACCCTTGGCGAGCGACATCCAAGTTGCTTGAGGGACTATTACAGGTCGGAAAAAGGAGTAGAGAGAGAGGGTTGGGAACGGAAGACAAAGATTTCAACAAAGGTTGGGGTATCTGAGCAATAGCCCACTTATCACTACCCACCCCGCTCGATGCAATGGGCAGCGCGGTCCTGAT